TATATATATATATATATATATATATATATATATAAAATTAAAAAAATTATTTATACATAAATAGGATAATCAAATGAATACTCTTGCCCTTACTAGCTCTGCCAATGCCAGTAAGTTATGTGTCATGTCTTGTCTAATAATTATCTCTCTTCAAATACTTTTTCATCGTATTTCTAACATCTCGAATTCACGATAGCCAACATTCCACGCTTCTTTACTAGTATACATACATCTTTTTTCACATGTCTGAATTATCTTAGTCTCACTTCCACCATCTTATTCACGGATATCACTCTCATCTTGTTCCAAATATATTTGTTCATGATATCTCATCTAGTATAATCAAGCAGACATCTCAACTAGGGGTGTTCACGGGTTGGTTTGGATCGGTTATTGGTCAAAATCAAAACCAAACCAACTTAATCGGTTTTAAAATTATCAAAACCAAACCAAACCAAATATAATATACATTTATCGGTTTGGTGATTATCGGTTTCGGTTTGGTTTGGTTCAGTTATTAACCATACACAAAAATAAAAGAAACAATTCATTTAAAATGTGATAAAAGTGACAACAATTCATTCAAAACTAAAGATAGTTAGAATGACTTAAATTACTGAACTTTCGATCACTAAACTTACTATCAATAAAGCTTTAAAATTCACTATATTGGTCTAGAAGGAAGAGAAAATAACATTTTCAGTCCCACAAAGAATTGTCACAGACACTCATATACATGAAATCAATAAGATAAATGTTTCATCTTGGGAATTTTTGCTTTCAATAAGTAAATTATAAAAGAATTTTTAATGAAAATATGTATAAGATCTTTAAAAATTGTTTATAAAAACAATATATTAAGTATGTATATTAATAAAATATATGTATATAATTCATCGGTTCGGTTCGGTTCGGTTATTTCTTCGATTTTTTTCAAATAAACCATAACCAAAACCAAATACTATCGGTTTTCAAAAACCTAAAACCAAACCCAAATAAAATCGGTTTTATTTTATCGGTTTGGTTTGATTTTTCGGTTTGGATGGGTTTTATCCAAACCGTGAACACCCCTAATCTCAACACTCTTATTTCTACTATTCTTATATTTTGAATATGTGCGAGTTCTTGATTTGGCCCATAATATATTTTAAATCATGTTTTGAGCTATCAAACAAGTATGTTCGGTTAATTATTTACTATTTTTTTCATAATTATAGAATAAAAAAAATAAAAAAAGAAGAAGAAGAAGAAAGAGTACCGGGTCGGACCACATCCATATCAAAAGAAGGCCACATTTCTGAAAGCCCAGGCCCATTTACTCCGTATATAAGGACTGAAATTCCCCTTATCAAGGGACATAGCTGCTGAAGCTTGAAAGTTGGAGACTTCAAACTAGGGTTTCAGCAAGATGATCATTCCAGTGCGCTGTTTCACCTGCGGGAAGGTAATTTCTGTTATTAAGCATTTCAATTCTCCATTATTTCAGAAGAAAACGAAATTAGCTGATTTTTACTTAATTGTTTCGAGTGATTAATTCTGTGGAACTGATTTTGTGCTTAAATTGATTTGTATATTTAGGTTATTGGCAACAAATGGGATGAATATCTTGATCTTCTTCAAGCTGATTATGCCGAAGGGTGAGAATCGTTATATGCCCTATACCCCTTAAACCCTAAAAAAAAATGCTACTTTTTTGTTGTGTCTGCCTTTAGTTGTGTCTGCCATTAGTGCCTTTTGAATTGAAATCCTATTATGGAACAATTAACTATGAAACATGAACACTTTTTGATAATCCAGCTGAAATTGGGTAGTGACTGCCTCTCATCCCTATTGAGTTGGTAATTTGACTATTTTTGACGTTGTTTGTGAAAATATTGAGGTCTGAAATGTAGAATGCGAACCTTAAGTAGGTGGAGTTAGATAAAACAATGCAGCAAGTGTTTGCTTCAGAAGTACCTGTGAAATTCTTTGACTCAAGTAATATTTGAATGGGTCTATTCATATGTATTATTTTATTGTGCAGGGATGCACTTGATGCACTGAATTTGGTTCGATACTGCTGTCGTAGAATGCTGATGACTCATGTTGACCTCATTGAGAAGCTTCTCAACTACAACAGTAACTTCCTCCTTTCTTCTTTGTCTAAATAAATCATGAATAAGTATTGTTCTTTTTTTTTTTGGATGAAATAGGTAAATGTTATGAATAATTATTATTAATGTAATATGCTTGAAAAACTTGTAGAAGCTTGCCAATAGAAGACTTGATCCACACCTAGACCGTGGCTTCACAAGTCTTTTTCGTTCAATAGTTGTGTATAATGTTTGTACCTAGCCTATTTTGCATTTTGACAGGGCGAGTTTATTCAATCAGGGGGTTGCAATTGAATACACTAGAATTGGTTAGGGATATCATACACTGTCATAGAGAAGGCCTTCAAATAATTAAGCAATTATCACCCTGCTCTGTCTTTTGCATCAAGGTGAAAGATATCACTGATGACATAAATCTTCATGTGAACTCGAAGAGTTCATTTCAGAAAAATTAGAATAAATCTTTTATGTGAACTCGAAGGGTTACACTCACATTCAGTTGCTGAATATTCTGATATCACCTATGGTGAATAAACTACTTGTTTGGGTTTTCTTCTCTTAATAATGTATTCAGCAGATAGAACCTCCTCTTAGAAAAACTAGTGGCCCTTTGATGGATTGCCAGAGAACCTGTATTATACTGCTTGAATGTCTATTTAGAGTTTGTGTACTAGTGTAGCTCCAGGGGAGGAAACACTGCCTCACCACCTCCCTTCATCTTATCATTGAAAGCACTAAGCTGATCACCATGACAGTGACCCTTGTGTTTCCACTAGATGTCAGTCAATCTATCTATAGCAACATTACTATATTAGCACATAGCGCTTCATATGAACATGTCCCCTTGACTGGACCTTTGGAAATTGTTCTACCCCTATTCTCTCAGTCAAGCAATCAATATCACCTCACTGATATAGGTGATTATGATGCCTACTTAATATCAAGCCATTATAGAAATAATAATCCACATGGTTTAGCTGCCGAACTCATCTAAAGAATAATTAGAGAAACTTTATTCAAGTCATTCCGTGTTGAGATTTGACTCTGGGAAACCAGATAAAATGACTAGTTACTAATATTTTTATCTTTGTTGTGTCCACTGTGATCTATGACGAACTTGATTTATGTTTTTATGTACACTAGGAAGATCCTTTCTTTTTTTTAGGAACTTTTGTTCATCTGAAACTAAATGTCACTGCTAAAATATATTATTTCCACCTTCCTTGATACTGTATTTGGTTATCGCTTCTCAATATATGCTGTTAAGAGAAGCTGGCTTTGATACTAACATGGTCATCGTTTCCCTGTTCTTTGGCAGCACTGGAGAAATCTGAGGGCAGTTGAAGCAATTTCCTGAACTAATGAGCTTACAATGTTTATATCTAGAACATTTACTTTTAGCTGTAATTCTCTTTCTAGTTGCAAGGAGGTGAAGTAAATTGTTCTCATATGAAGGGAGTCTCTTGAATCGTGTAACCAGTAAACAGTGTGATACTGCAAGCTACTCTTGATGTTTTGTTGGTTCTGAATCTCCTGGTTGCCTATTTAACAATATATTTGTTGGTGTAGTGGCGCTCGAAAGTTAAAAGTTGAACCTTCTACAAACTCTGTTTTTACATTTTAGTGCAGTACGTTCCATTTACAGTTTAGCATTTCACTCATAGTAATACTACATTAAAATAGCCAAGGAAGGTAAGGGTAAAGAACATGGGAGTTTTCATTGTTTCCGCCATTGTTGCCTTCTTCTATGAAGATGTAAGGTTGCTTTGTTGCAATCTTTTTCGTATTTATTCAAATATCATTTCAATGTGGAGTCAAATAGCTTATATGGTAAAGTACTCTTCTTCATCTCAATATTTACATGGCGATTGCATTCTTTCTGAATCAAATTGAGTGATTATAGTTGTGTTTGAAGTAACAAACGAAATAAAGAGTAACCAGATGTATAGGATTTTTTCTGTGTACGTTTTTTTCTTTAGAAATTTGTCTTAACGTTAAGTGAATTAGTTGAGATTTCAATTTTAAAAAATAATAATAAAGAGAAAGGAAAATGAAATTGCTTCAAGCCATGCATGTGAGAGAATGTGCTTTTAGGCAACCATCAGTGTGGGAATTGAGCTGTTGGAATCAATCAATTTAATGTATCATTGATAAATAGGTCTCGGACATGTGATTTATTAATGGTTAGTCATCATCACACACCGAAAAGTTTGGTCATTATATACCCAAAGGAAAAAAAATGTTGAAAGGGAATTATGGTTATTAATACAATTAAACGTAAAGTTAGTTTGGTAAAATATATCTTTAATTAAAATTCTCTTAAGGATTGTACTAGATCAGCAGAGATCAAGTAATATAAAGCGAAGAGAGTACACTCTTCATATTTTGTTCTTAATAATAAATGTTCTTGAAGTATTAAATATTGACTAATTAGCATAAATAAGGGTATAATAAAAAATGTGACAAAAAAGAGGAAGAAACAAACGTGAACAACGTTAATGCACCACCATTTTAATCTACAAAAAGGGGAGAAAAATAACATTGTTATGTTACCATTACTTATGTTTCTTAAACTAATTCAATCTTTTCTTATTTTTATTATAGTACTCCTAATAATGTTGAGCAAAAAATAATTAAAAAAATATAAATTACACTTACCATGTCTGCAGCCCTGCACTCTGCAGTTTCCTGTCTCCTGCCCATCCCTGTGTTTTCTTCTCTCTCTCTGACTCGAGATTTTATATTTTTACTATATTCCTGATTTGAAAAATCCCATTTTTTAAGCATATTTTGAGTTACTTGTCCCCCATTTCTCTGCAATACGTTATCATATTCAATGATAGTTACCACACCCGTTATAGACTGGTCTAAAGCTACCTGGCAGATGTAACAAATTGGCATTTTGAGCTAAAAATGCAATTCTGGATCTAAAGTTACAATCTTTCTTGATTTTAAAGACACCCCATTTGAATAAAAGCTATAACAATGGTGGGTTTGGTTGATTCTTGGTGTTTCTGTAATGGGGGTGGCAAGTCTGAAAAAATGAAAGCTACCATTTTTTCAGGCAAAGGTTCTGCTATGGCTTATATAGCTTCGAGTGGCACTGGTTTCTTGATCCACCGGAATTTGCTGCTTACTACCCATATAATACTTCCTTCTGTGGTTGCTGCTGAAGCTGCTGAGATCCGTCTTCAAAACGGAGTTGTTGCTTGCCTTTTTCCACACAGGTTAGTTTTTCTTCTTATTGACTTTTATCTTTGTAATGTATTCAGTTTTTGCTTTACAGAGTGGAAATTGATTCATATGGTTGACTACAACTAATTTGGGATTGGGTTGTATTTGTTGCTGCTGTTTTATTGTAGTGTCTCTTTGTTCAGATTCCAAAGGGTGAAGAAACTTTCCTTTATTATGCTAATTGATTTCTGTTACGGTCACTCGACTAATAGTTATTATATCAAAAAGTCTTTTTTTTTTGTTGATGAAAATTGGAATCAAGAAAAAAGTGAAGTGACTTTGTGAGATAATAACTACTATTAGTTGAGATGCTTGTCTTAGTCTATTGAACACCTGGCTGACTTAGGATTCCGTTAGTTTCTTGGACTATTTTTGGTGAAATGTTTGCTCTGTGTAAGTATTCATCAAAGCATTGGCCTTCCATCATCGACATTGTATAGGAATCTGTCAAAATCATATTCTCCGTCGAAAGACCTTTGCTTTATGAGCCATTGACACCATTTCAAGATCCAATATTTATAGTCTTTAGAAGCTATACATAATATTTATGTGGCTACAGGAAAGGGTAGTTAGTCAAAACAGTTCTTTCTCAAACTGTCATTTCCCGTGCACCTTCCTGCTCTACCAGACTACCACCATCACTGTGTGTTGTGACAATTATTGAATAGATTGGAGTAGTCCTGCCAAGAAGCTTGAAAGGTTTATGGCGGGCTTCATCTGGCGAATAATCTTGTTAATGCAATCGATAATGTCATTCCCAAGATTGATTTTAGTGAAGAGGATGGTGGTGTTGGGACAATCCTCAAACTAAACTTTCCACCAGGCACTCTGTTGTTCACCTCTTACATGGAAAATGATTGTTGATGGTACGAAGCTCATCAAACTAGGTGGGCTTGTTGATCTTGGATCACTCTGCATCAGATGCGGCTTGAAGTCATAGAAAAGGAGAGAGATGCATGCATCACTATATAGTCTGATTGCCTAGTCACGTGAGTACGAGTGCTTCTGAAAATTGTTTTGCTTGATCCTTTATTCCCAGTTCCCATTAGTCACAAATTTTGCAGTGAATGTATATGTTAGAAAGGTATTTAAGAATTCAATCATAAGACTAGGGCCAGAGCTGACGGAATGGCTCAAATAGGGGTGAATATAGAGGATTCAATTGTTGACCCTTAAGTAGTTTGAGTTGAGGTGTAGTTGATTGATAATCAATCACATAGCAATGGTTCAGATTGGTGTCATTAATAGTTTATCAAGTATTTAAAGCAACATGAGCAACATTAATGTGCATGGATTTCACACTTGACCTTCCGAAACATAAGTAGAGATATGTAGCACTAGTCTATCAATTTGCAACGAGGATAAGATTATCACATTTGCCTGATATGATGTATATAACAAGAGAGCAGGAGAACGTCAGATCAGATGCAATGAGGATTAGATCTTCTAAGCTCCCACTACCAGTTTGATGTTTTGCAGAAGATGAGTCGGGTCTTTGGGCATTCAATCTGTGTAAGAACTTGGATTTTGGGGCAATAAAAAAAGTCCATCTCTAGTTGCTGATGGCATTTGTGGCTTTAGATAGTGCATAATAAATTAAATCGCATGTATGCATGCATGTTGATGTATATACAAGTCATTTTCTTCTTGTGTTGGTTCTCCGCAGCTCAAGGTGAATTGACTTTAATTATAATCAGGTTTGAATTTCCTTGACAGTCTACATAAAGGTTGCCAATAAATACTTGTAGGTTATAAAAAATGCAACATTGATCCGTAAAATGTCATTTAGCTAACATCTTACTGATAATGAGGAACAAAAATAAAACTTCTCGTGTAGTCATGTTGGCATGCCAAGTATGAATGCTTTATCACTTACATCAGATAAACTTTTGGATTATGAAGCTGAAGGTTCGATGTTAGCTTGTGTTGATCAAATTACTTGTTTAGCATCTGAGTATTGTTATATGTTGTGCGCTTATGGAGGTTAACTGTACTTAGTACATTGCAATCGTGGCTAGAGAAATGGGAGTCTATATTAAAAGGGATGTAGGATGGATGCGGAGGAAAATTAGGAAGGAGAATAAGAATTATTGGTTAACTTACCCGATTCACCTCATTAAAGTACTGTCTCCACATTTGTAAGATTGATTGCTTAACTTTATTTTGCTTTCTGACTAGCGAATGCTTGTGAATGTTATGCACAATACTTGTGTATATTTGTCTACCTGGTCAAGCAAGTTTTTTTCCTTTTTCAGGCCATCTCATTTTTATGTTTATCACATGATCATTTACTTCTCATTACAGGTTTTTTATTACCAGCTCCGTACTAGATCTGACTATAGTGGGCCTTGACGTCATGGATGGAGACACAAATGCACATGTTCAGCAACCTCACTACCTGAAAACTTGCTCTAAACCTAATCTTGAGCTGGGTAATGCCGTCTACCTGTTAGGTTATAGCGAGAAAAAGGAGTTGACAGTTGGCGAAGGAAAAGTGGTAATAGCCACTGACAACCTTATAAAGCTGTCAACTGATGGAATAACTTGGAGGCCGGGTTCTGCTGGTTTTGATGTTCATGGCAATCTAGCCTTCATGGTGTGTGATCCAATGAAGCTAGCAACATCTCCTAACTCAAAATCCTCATCAACTTCGCCATCTCCATTATCATCATGGAAAGACTGTCCCATGCAATTTGGTATACCCATCCCTATCATATGCGACTGGTTGAACCAACACTGGGAAGGAAGCCTTGATGACCTCAATAAACCAAAGTTACCACTGATTCGGCTGATGTCTACTGGTCAAAGAAGTGATCATTCTTGTGCATCCTTCACAATGCGGTGTGTTTTTAAGTCAACTGAAGCTGAAAATGACTGCACACCATCATCTTCGAGCGGATTGCCCCGACCTAGAGAAGATCCTGGACCAAGCTGTTCTGCTGTTCCCACTAACTTGGAAGAGGAAACAGTAATTACTCATGTCCAGGGAATTCCAACTCCTGAAATTTTTGAGTCACGGAGATTAACTTCAACACCAGTTGGGAAGAGTGAGAGTACTCAAATCCAGCTTTTGGATATTAACTTTCCACCAAGGATTCTCATCAAAGCTGCTGGATCACCACAGCATGTCAGAAAGACCCTATCCAACTCTGATGATGATTGTATCGATAAAGCGAGAGAAGAAAATTCTAGTGACATTGGCCAGCCAAGCCCTGTGCCAGACGCTGAAGTTGCGTCTACCAGATCTGTTAATGGGGCCCAGAGTGAGGTTGAATCAAGTTGCTGTCTCATAGAGGTTTTGGAAGCTCAAAATGAATACAGCAGTGATGGAGAGACGACAATGTACTCCGCGGAAACTGCTGAAAGCAGAAACTATCCAAGTCCTAAAGGGGGAAGGTTTCATCAAGTAGGAAGAAGCCAAAGTTGTGTTAACTACAATAGATGGGGGCCGGTTTCAAAAAACTCAGCAGCTCGTAGGGCTAACCAAGAACAAAAGAGGAACATTATGCAAGGAAGAAAGGTCTACTCCCAAGGGACAACTTCACAAAGGAGTAATGACTATTACAGCCCGACAGTATCTTCAATCATGAAGAAACGGAACAACATGGAGCCACAAATCAGACCACCACGTCTAAGTGCAGGAAACTCATCACCAAGATGGATGTTTTGATTGATAAATTCTGAAAAAAACTCATTCTTTATACCACTCTCCTTTTTTGAGCTTATATGAGACTACATTGCAAAGAAATTAAGAAAGCTGGAGAAAACTCGAGCAAAGGCAGCTTACTGATTTTCGATAGCAGGTGCTACAGGTTATTGTTCTTCCACTGGAACTTCAATGACATTCTGTGGACTTTATGTTGGAGAAAAGATCTCAGAGGCATCTTCAACAGTCCCAACATTTTCACCAGTTAAGGATTGGCTAGTAACTGCTGCTTATCAGCAAAATAGATGAATGCAACATAGAATTCAAGTGTGACAGGAAGTGAAACCAAAGCAAATGTTCAATACTGTGTTCTCTGAGATAAATAATACTCTGGAAAAGTGACTTGCTTTTTCTGAAGGTTAAATTGACAATCTCATCTGATGCAATTCTTTATTATGTATATCTACATTTTACTCTATGCAAACCAATAAAATTGGCTTCACTTTCATTTTCATGTCTCAGTAAGCTTGATTAGTATGGAGTCTATCAGAAATAGTGTAATTTGTCCTCTTTGAAAGGTTAGTATGCAAGAAATACTTGACCAAATGTCATTAATACAAACTATACTGCGGGCCAATTCGAATCCCGGAAGATGGTGTTGTAGAAACTGACATCTAACATATCCCGTATAATTCCATAGGTGCTGTTTGAGGAGGGTAGAATGTGTATACCTTACTCCTACCTTGTGAGAGTAGTAAGACTATTTCCGATAGACTCTCGACTCAAGAGAATTAAAAAGGAAGCAGTAATAACAATACGATAATAAGATAAACAAAATGAAACAAACAAAAAAGTAGTCTTAGAAGTGATAATTTTAATAAATAAATAATAATAATAATAATTTAAAAAAAGGTTATATGAATAATCAAATTTCCTTGAACGATTTACCACATCTTGGCGAGAAATCTCATTTGCTCAATAAATTATCTCTTGATTGTTTAAACTGACAATTATTTTAGAACAAGTATTTTTAGTATATATGACAACTAAAAAAAACAGAGGAACTAGTAATGAACTTGTGTTTGCACACGGGCTATTATTTCCTTAGTACCTACCAGTCAGTACATGCACCATATAATTCTAGATCCCTACTATTTAGATCGATAAAAACAAATTATCAAATTACGATTTAGAAATCAAATAGCTCATGAAATTGTGGCAGAGAGTACTCCACATTATGACCAAAAGTTTATAATTACACAAGATTTGCTACTCCAATTGCCTTTAGGCCATACCATATTCTATGAACCTATGCCTAAAGTCAAAGTAAATTTGGAGAAGGACATTGAACACTTAAATGTGACAACCACGCAAAAAATGGTCTAAGTTAATAAAGTTGAGCTTCTTTGTTTTTACTATTCTTTATGAATAATTTCTTGTGCAATTTAAATTTAATAAACTTAACAAGTTATTAACTACACAAATAAAGTAACTCAAATAAATAAAAATTAGTTAATTAACTAATATAGCTATAGTTTGAATTATTTACGACTCGCAACTTAATTTTAGCTTTAATTACGTCACTGGTCCTCTTTTATACATATACAAATACAAATTATACACATATATACAATTATATTAACATATATACAAATACAATTAAGTCTCTCTCCACTCTCTGCCCTTTCTCACTCGCCTCTCTCCTCCCTCTCGCCAGATATACAAATACATATGTCTATCAGTTATATACATACAATTATCTGATAGATATACGTATACAGTTCACCTCTCTCCACTCACTGCCCTCTCTCGCATCTCTCCTCCCTCTCCCAATCTCGCTCGCCAGGTATACAAATATATATGTATATTAGTTACATATATACAATTATTTGACAGATATACATATATAATTCGATAAATATACATATACAATTCGCCTAGCTACGAATCGAAATTAGCAAATTGTAGCTATAGAGCGTATTAAGCTATTTTTGAGTGACTATATGCTAAAGTTCTCCTTTTAACTTTTAGTAACAATAAAATAACTGGAATAAATCCTTGACATCAAAAAAATAAAAATAAAAAGTTTATGTTTTGCAAAGTGTAATAGACATAAATTCGTCTAGTAGAGTCCTACAAAATTTAAAGTTGGAATCACCAAACTTATTTAAAAAAATTCAATAGTTTTGTAAGAATATCGGGCCGGGTAGGTAAAAATTGGCAGGAAACAAATGGCAACATTAATTTCTGTGTAAATGCGCTTATCTCTCTCGCCTCACTCTAAACTTCCTTGAGAGCCTCAAACCTTCACCTCGATCCCATCGACCAAAAAAGAAGCAAACTCTCTATACTCTAAGAAAAACCCAAAATCTCTCTGTTTAGGGAAGAAAAAGAGTTAATTAATTGATTTGGGATCAAACAATGTTGTGTAGAGGGACGTTTCAAGCTGGCAATGTCGCCATTGGAGATCATAATCAGTGTTCCAAGAGATTTTTCAATTCAGTTTCAATTGGGTGTAGAAAATCGCTTGTTTCATCTTGTTCGGTTGGGGCGAGGTCTGGTCTGGTGCTGGCGGTAGCTACTAATGAGACGACTAAGAGTAAGCAGATGGCGTATGAGCCGAGTCTTGCGGATCGATTGAGGTTGGGGACTGTGTCGGAGGATGGAATGTCGTATAAGGAGAAGTTTATTGTTAGGTGCTATGAGGTTGGGATTAACAAAACTGTAACTGTTGAAACTATCGCCAATCTCTTGCAGGTCTGGTTTATTTTTTTTCATCGATTGCTTTTGATTTGTCAATGCATGTCTATTTCTCGAAAGTATCGCCAATCTTTAGCTGGTTTACTGTTATGACAAGATCGATTTATTTTTGGGTTTTTTGTGTTAATCAACTCTTGATTTGTGAATGCATGTCTGTTTCTCGAAAGCATCGCCAATCTATTGCAGGTCCAGCTAGCTTTATGAAAGATTGATTCTTTTGTGTTAATCAACTCTTTCACTGAATATGAGCTCTTGATTTGTCAATGCATCTCTTCTTCTTTTTTGGTACTTTTCTTTGAGCTGGAATGGTGGGAGTATAGAGTTTTGGGGAATTATTTTTGTGTGCTGTACTCTTTTTTTTTTTGAAACTGGTAAATGTGTATTCCTCAGCATTAAGGACATGCTGGACACCATCAAAAAGTGTTAGATAAAAAAAAACAGCACCTAGAAAACAAGATACTTACAGAGATCTTAATAAATCTACAAACTGATCTATATCCTCTAAACCTACTTCTTTACACCCAAAGTAGAAAGATATTATACAATTCCATTTAACTTTCTGGATGGAATTGGATCTATCTTCATAACACCTCCCATTTCTCTCTCTCCAAACTGTCCACCAGATGCATTGTGGGATGATCCTCCACCACTTCTTTTGACTTTTGCTGCCTCCTCTTTTCATCCAGCAACTAAGCAAATCTGCAGTATGCTCCGGCATAGTCCAGCATGTCCTGTACTCTATAGTAGTACTTATTCCATTTCAATTTGTTTGTCTGGGTTTGACTTACATGGACTTCAAGAAAGTAAATACTAAAACTTTTGAATCTTGTGGTCTTAAACATACCATAAAACTGAAATTAAAGAATTGCCAAAAAAGGGAAGAGGCGTTCTTTTTGAAGTGGACTAAAAAGGAAAATAAGACAAACAAATTGAAACGGAGGGAGAATAGTTATATTTTGGTTATGTATGATTATATGGGCATAAATATATCTAAACTCTGTGATGTAGGAGGTTGGATGCAACCATGCTCAAAGTGTTGGATTTTCAACGGATGGATTTGCAACTACCCATAGCATGAGAAAATTACATCTTATATGGGTTACTGCTCGCATGTACATTGAGATCTATAAGTACCCTGCTTGGTAATCCTTTTATACCTTGCAAGTGTTCACTGTAGTGGTTTATTCTACAAGGCTGTTGTACCCATGGTTAATGTTGTCTGTGGTATGGAACAGGAGTGATGTTGTTGAAATAGAGACTTGGTGCCAAAGTGAAGGCAGGATTGGGACTAGACGTGATTGGATTCTCAAAGACTGCGCTACTGGTGAAGTCATTGGAAGAGCAACCAGGTGCAGAATTTATGTTTATACTCCATAATAAACCTAATAGAAAGAATATAGATAGCACTAAAAGTGATAATATTCCTGTTCAATGCACATCTCCAAGTGGACATGTATACTTCTAGGCATGCAGTATTCCAGGCTTAAGTATATTTGTTGCAAATACTTAACATAGTTGATACATATATTCTGTGAATTGCTTATCTTTTACATATACCCTTCCACACAAGTGTGGTGCAGTAGTTTCCATGCCCACTTGGTTATTAAATACATTTCCCGCAAAGGCAGCTTTTGGAACAAATGAATTCCTTTTGTAAGTTACTGCATAAAGCTTAAAGTACATCCATGGAGTGTTTTGCTTCTAAATCATCCGAGTCAATGTATTTACTTTGTGAAGAAGTCTGTAATTTGGCAGTGTTAATGATTTTCTCGAGTATCAAGGTCACAGATGCCACCTTCTAACAATCTGTAAATCCTTTCTTTTTCCTATATTGCTTGTCGAGTTATTCTACAAAAATTAAATTAGGATGTTATGATATCTGATTGCAGCAAGTGGCTCATGATGAACCAGGACACAAGACGGCTTCAAAAGGTCACTGATGAAGTTCGTGATGAGCTGGAGCTCTATTTTCCAAAAGAACTGAGGTAAACTTAGGTTCCTCTTTTTCATTTTTCTTCTTTCCCTTTCCTTTCCTGGAACTTATAATTTCCTAAGTGGGTAAAGCATTCTTGTAAAATATAACTGTAATGAGGAAACTGTTCATTGAACTTCTTGAAATTATTATACAACGGTTTTGAATGGTGTTAATGGGTACATGATTCTTGGTGCTGGTAGATGAAAATGTAGCTGTTAAATACTATCATAAGTTGCGCATATATCTAACACAAATGGTTTGAATCTCAAAGACATTACAGATTCTTAATTATTACATCTATTTCTTGGTATTTGATGAGTTTTTGTATCTTAGACTGATTGATGGGAATGGAAGGATTTAACACTTACATTGATGATGTAGAAAATGGAACGTCCCCCCCACCCCACCCCCCACCCCCCAAATAAAAGAAAGATGACTCCTCAGATCCATTTGACTCCCTTGAAAAATTATTGAGTAGATATATGAATTGCAGGGTTTTTTTGCATGTTGGGTCTTTGAAACAGTTCAGATTATTTTTAATAATAATAAACTTGATATGTTTTACCGAGGAGGTCTATGGTTCGAGGCCTATAGCCCTATAAAAATGAATCAGGTAATTGACCAAGTAATCCACATACATGATAAAAGAGCATTCCAGCTTTAGTGTACTTTGTTCCACTTAATCCCTCTTTCGTGGCCACATATCTTTCCGGTGAAGGAACGGGAAATATTTCTCATGTTACATACATTAATCCAATTTACATTTTATTTGGGAAAAACCATCTTTGTTTTTTGTTCAAAATATTCCTATACCATAATCAAAAGGATCATCAATGAAAACTTATCCTTCTAACTATCATAATTTACATTAGACCTTGAAACCATTTGTTCTGCTTTTCTGGAAAACAAAGGGTTGTTTCTAAAGAACAATTTTTCCAACATATGCATAACCAATTCTTCAGAACCAAATCCAAGGATGTGCCTGCGCGCACACATGGTTTTGCAAAACGAAAAAAGAAATAGAAAAGAACTAAACCAATCTGTCTCTTATCCACTTTGTTTCTACTCTGGTGCAAGCTTGTTTCCCAGACGTATATTCACTGTAGTTAGACTGTCAGACAATCATATGTGGTGTCTTCTCTATCAAGTCAACTCCAATCGTCAATTTTACATTTTTATATTTCATTGAAGTAATACACTTGAGTCATTCTGACTTCCTTTTCTATTTACTCACTATGTTTAAATCGAGTAGAGTGAGGGTGGCTAGTGAGAGAGAAATTAGACAAAGGGACGGAATTAGTCTTTAACTTCTACGTTTCCCAAATAACTTGGATTTCCTGAGAGATTTGCCACTATTCTGAAATTAGACTGAAAGGAGGAAATACGTATTGGTCTTTCACTCTCTTCCACTTTTACAAACTTAGGGATCTGAGAAGTACTTCACTTTGGAGAAGCAAAAAAAAAAAAACTACCCCTCCCCTTCTTCAATCAAACATATTTTTAATTTTATATACTTCATAACAGCACCAGCCACAATTGTGTTATGTGTAACGTGTTACCCTGTCTACTCTATTGCATATCATCTGCAATGTCACTGACCATGATTTCGTCACATGTAAGTTTGAGTGTTGTATTTTATTGGCAGCAATGTTATTGATAAGGGGCACTCTATTCTTGTTTGACTGTTCACAATTCCAGGTTAGCTTTTCCTGAGGAGAATAATGGCAGCCTAAAGAAAATAGCAAAACTTGAAGATCCCGCTGAGTATTCGAAGCTAGGAATGGTGGTAGGTGTCATTTTAAAATCCCGAGTTCAATGACATTCTTTTCAAGCACTCAGGATATTCATTGTTTTGTTGGCAGCCACGAAGAGCTGATCTGGACATGAATCAGCATGTAAACAATGTCACTTACATTGGATGGGTACTTGAGGTTTGTAGATGCTTCCTATCTGTAGTTGAATAAATGGACGTGGCCAACCATATATACGATGCAATAAAAAAAAAATTCTTCTTGCAACTAAAACTGTTCTCCCCACTGCAACTTCTTTTCTGCCATTACCGTGGTAAATTTAACAACTGTGCAGAGAACTCTTAGGGTCTTATGTTGTCTTGTTCATAGAACTTTTGTTACTCTTCATTGTTATAAATAGTTAGACTAGTCATGGGGGAGTCATTAGAAGTAAATTCTAAAACAAGGGAAGTCTTATGTTTTACATTTATGCACTACTTTCTCTATTTTGCTAACAAATTTTTTTTTCTGCTGGCAGAGTATTCCTCAAGAAATCATTGATACACATGAACTGGAAACAATTACAATAGATTATAGGCGTGAGTGTCAGCAGGATGACGTTGTTGATTCCCTTACAAGCGTTGAACCTATTGAGGATGCTGATGCTTTAGAGAGTCACGGAGCTAATGGATCTGCTACTGCTCCAAAGGATGTAAACAAGAGCTTCTTGCATTTGTTGAGATTATCAAGCGATGGACTTGAAATAAATAGGTGTCGAACTGAATGGAGAAAGAAGTCTGCTAGGATATAAGATTCCATGTGTTCTATTGTTCATTGTAGCACAAGTACTCGGTGGAGGAGCTCCCTTTTGTTTCTTCGTTTTCCTACTTTTCGTGTCTGTCTCTTTTCTTGTCTTTCTGTAGTTTTTATTGCTTCCCTTCTTTCTTTTTCTTTTTCCTAGAGCTCTGGATAGATGTTTGAGATGAGGCTTCATTGATTTGTACTAATGTTTTAGTTATGCAAATAAACAGGATGAGGAAATTAGTGTGCTAGTTTGGGAACAGATTATTTGTATCATATAATTTATGACATGTATCTCCTGCTTGTTTGCTGCTTATATAACCTTTTAAATCTCAAAGTTAGTTGTCAAAACAACTGTTTATTAAAGATATATCTTTATATATGCTCTAATAATGTCTTAAGGGATAAAGATGGAGATGAGAAAGAAACTGTACAGGCTCGCGAAGGCGAGAGAGTGAAAGACCTGAAGTATATCAAGGATGAGGAAAGTAAGGTGTTGGCAGAAGAGACTCTCATTAATCAAAGATGGCAAAAGCATATATCCATAGGTTTTTCAACTAAGAAGGGGACAGAACCATTGTGCTGGGCGATTTGGAGCACTTTGAGAGACATGGCGTGAAGGCTGCTGGTTCGAGGGTAGAGTACAGTACTAAAGGTCCTCGGACTTTTTGGATACTTCAGAAATCTTATCTTTTTGTTTCAAAAGAAACAGTAAGCAGTATCAAATTGAACCAACATCTAAATGTTTTAACTTGAACATTGACCAAATTTGAGAGAAAATTTCAAATGGTTATCATGGGAAAGAGATGAAAATGATATTTAAGAAAATAATTTCAGGGATTGAAAAACGCAAGACAGAAGGTGCTAAGAAATTAGAGAAAACCTTGTTCCAAATGGTAGAATTTATAGTAGTAGAAAACTAGGATTTTTTATTTTGAAATTCAAAAAGAAGAAAGTTGGAGGGGTCAGTCACGGAATCAGATTCTGCAGATGTAGCCACGTTGAAAAATATCCTGGACCAGTTATCTTGATTCTCTGAAAATGGCATGGCTTGACCTCAACTTTTCAGCTTACCGAACAGATGATCTTAGATAGAAGGGTGTGGAACATAATTATTATGATAGAAAGTTAGTAGGTAGTGGAGTGTTGTCGTGTTTTACGAGAGTTTAGGTTTGTTTGTGTTTGTCTTTGTACTAAAGTTTTTGCTTTTGATATTTATCATTGTTTGTTGTTTACTATATTTTGATTATCGTACTATATACTGTTCTTGTTCCTTTCTTGTAGGTTTTGCACTGCTTTTCTTGTAAGTTAGTATTATGTTTTCTACACTGTTTTTATTTTTTGTACTTGAATTTGCTGTACTTGAGCTAAAAGTCTTTCGAAAACAGTTTTTTTACCTTTACGAGATAGTGATAAGGTTTGCATACACTCTATTCTCCTCATTTCCCTAATCCCACTAGTGGGATTTTATGTTGTTGTTGTAATAACATGTTATCATTTTTACCAAGCTAACTTAATTTTTTATCATAGAGATTTAACCATTTTTCATCAAGTTTCATTACAAAACCAGTAATACATTCATCATTTTAGCTCCTTTTCTCTGTAGGGAACACAAAAGGGAAGGGATAATTAACGCAAATCAATTTGATTTAAGAACAAACAGTACATATTAATAAAACAATAAGTAGACAATACAATTGCAAATTTCAGCAGAAAGCATAACAAATACAAGAAATCACTAGCCCAAACATATTGCTACAAGAAGCCTCTTAACATAGAAACGATTGGCGTTGCGCCGTGGTTTGTTGATCTATTTACACATCCAATATAGCTTCAGATCACCAGAAAAACAAGGTCCTCATTTTCACCACAAAGGAAAGCAGCAGCTCTGCAGAATACAGAGAAATGGATAAGAAAAACGGTGAAATAAGAGTGTTTGGCTCATGAAAAAGAACAAGGCAAAAATGTGAGTACGCGTGTTGAGACATAATATAATTAAGAAACTAAATGTATGTTCTTTCAAACAGTTCAAACTTTTAGATGAGGAGGTCACACGATTTAATAATTACTATACCTTCTGCTTTTCATTTCGCTGTGGCCTTTGTGTGCTGTAAGATGTTCTACCACCTGCGGCTGGCATATTTCCAGTATCTACGTGCCTTTGCTCTCGCACCTTGTTAAAAACCTCAGTGTAATTTTCTGCATCCTGAGGATCATTGTCATCCCATCCGCCAAATTTTGGAACTACTGTTCCTCTATCAGGCTGTTAGAAGATGAAGAAGTCGCGTCAATTTCAATATCAACCTAGACTCAAACTCAATGATATGAAAAATGAACTGGACAAAAATCTATTACTCTATCTGTTTAAAAGCACAGAAGTTCAAAGTGATTTAACATTTTTCGTGCAAATTTAGCTGCAGCATGACATAATAATGTAAAACTTTTTACACAGTTAGTGTATACAAGTAAAACTCGAAATATAAAATGCAGTTCGAGGAATGACTAACATATCATTTCTTACTAATTAGCTTCTCTGTCAAATATAAGATAAATAAGGCATGCTATCACAAGTTGAATTTCTATATTATGCAACGCGAAATAGAATAGGAAGAAACATACACTTTCTTGCTTCATTTGGTGCCTTCCAGGAGTAGCATGAGAACTTTCGAATGATCTTCCAGGTGTACCATGACTACTGTCATTCGAATTCTTCCCTTCCCAAACAGGAGATGCAGCTACACGTCCAGATATCTTCACTTGGGAATTGGGGTGAAGTGGTGATTTTGCAATGCTGTGATCAGACCCTCCACTTGGTCTAGAAGGTCGACCAGAATTTGATCCACGACCTCCACCATGACGTTGATGAGTAGTTGGCTCATTGCGAGCTGGAGAACTAGCACGGAAATCACCATCTTCTCTACTCACCCGGTGCTTGTTTGTTTGCCTAACTGTTTCCATCCCCATTGGTTCCTCTGTCGGAGTTTTAGGCCTGGAGGGAGGAGCAACATTCGGAAACATGTCCGGATTCTCTTGAGGATCATTCGGATTTATCATCTTTCCGCCACGAGTTTTCCTTGCATTCTCAAAAACGACAGTATAGGGAGTGTTGTCTTCATTTCCCCAATTTCCAAACTTTGGCACATTTGCACGCTGCAGTAACAATTACAAGAAAATTCAACAAACCGTGAGTGTGTATGGTACGACGGAAGTCATTTTTCAAGAAAAAATACTCAGGAATCTATAATTGAATCTAAGCTAAATACTTGAAATAGATCCAGATATACAAAACAACAAAAACTACTAATCAATCCAAATATGTTAGGATTGGTTATAGGTTCACATAAACCTATTGCTTTTTTCATCACCCTATATATTTATTAACAAATCCACTAAATATCGTGAACTCAGATATTATAGTAATATTAACTTGAGATAAATATAGGAAACCCATAAACTTATAGTATCCATATCCATGTTGCCCCATTTAAGCTCGTTTCAATCTAGTAATAATTAGTTTCTTTTGACCTAATAATTCTCTACCATTTCATTTCTACTAGCATTTGAATTTCTAAGAAGACCAAATGACTCTTAACAGAGGCGAAGCTAGTATTTAAATTTTGTTTTTATAAAAAATGGGAAGATAGAACCTTCACCGACAAGGTGAGAGTTTAAATTATCAACCAACTAAGCTACTATGATTGCCAGATTTGAAGTTTACAGATCTAAATTTTCCACATAATTCATAGCTCGTATTAGTGACTGAATTTACCACTAACATATTTAATCAATTTACGAAAACAAATACATAGTCTAAGCAAAAGTTACTCGTTTTAATCTGTTCACAAACACAAACGTACTAAACTTCAAGTAATTAATTTTCAACCACATATTGCAGAGCAATTTTGGATAAAGCAACGGAAACGAAAAAGGGGAAAAAGTAATTATTGAAGAAAACTTACAGCCATTGATGTTCTCAGCAAGCAAAAATAGATAACAGTTCCTCGAGCAAAAAAGTCTTTTTTTTTTTTGCAAGAGAAGCCAAAAAGAGAGAAGAAGAAAGTGCAGAGGGAGAAGCGTTGAAGAGAGTATATATAAATGGTGAGAATTTTCAGAGGACTGACTGTGTCTCAGCACGTATTGGTTGACAATTCGCCTCTTACACCCTGTAATGTTTTCAAGTCGTCTCTCTCAAAGTCAATTTTACCCCATGCTTACCCACTCGACTTTACTTATAGTAAGTTTTTTCCGCCATTATTGCTCCACTTGCTTAGCTCCCTCTACAACAACACTGTTAACTATTCTCTATTATTTTTTGGTTTTCCATATGACGTTCGAACTCCACATTGAAATTCCGACAAAATTTAAATTGCATTTTACAAGGCTCATTCGGAAGTGGCGCTCCCAATAGAACTCGGAGCTCGAACCGAGACCTCTGATTAACTATTCTCTATTAGTTATGCTGAAATTCATTGTTTTTGTTGTTTTTTTTAATGTATTTAGTTTGTTGTATTAAAATTATTTTATTAGTGAATACTGAGTTTTCATTTTATAATCAACTTTCCTATTTTTCTTTCAAAAACAAAATAGATCTAATATTTTGAATACTCCTCTCAAGTCTCAACCTATTAATTTAACATAAAGAAATAGGTTGCTTTGTTGAATCATGAATGTCTCATTTGCATTTTTATATATAAAGAGAGAAAACCAAGATATTAAAAAAAAGAACTAGGAGTAATATATAATTCAACACATAATGCAAACATTTTTCAAATTATAGTATTCTCGTTATTGTACTTTTTGCCCACTAAAAAGTCAATTGTGAATAGTCAAATTAAAAGAAAAATTACAAATAATATTACTATATAATTTAAACTTGTAATATTGTAATTCGAACTGTGACAATTTTAATTATTTTTGTTCAGATAAAATTGGATTATCTTGCTCGTTTTTTTTTGGATTACTCGTTATAAATTTGAAAAAGAGAATTGAAAGTGAAAGCACAGGTTCATAGCACACCAAGTTGGACCATTCAAAATTAGAATAATAAATCTTTCAATAACTAGGAAACTTATAATCCAAAAAAAAAAAAGGAAATTTGGAAAAAGTACAAAAATATCACATTCAATATTTTAATTTTATCTCTTTTATATTAAAGTGTGTTGAAATTTATATGTATGTAAAAATATTATTATATCAAATTTATATAGTAACACGTTCCAACAATTGTAGTTGGCTTCTACCGATAGTGGAATAATTTAACTCGAATTCGAATTAATCAAATCCTAGATTTTCAATATATTAAATTGGAATATTCTAAAGATAGAGAAAAATATCAATCTGGTAAGGCTGAGTCATGACCATCTCTGTTTGACTTTTTTGTTCAACCATTAATATTCCAAAAGAAAAAAATATATTTATGTTTGTGTGAGCCACCATCTAACCCAAGTTGACTAATAATCTAACATTTCTACTAATTATTACCCATTAAATATTTGCAAATTTCCATTTGGTGAATTTGGTGCCTTTTCTTCTCATAATAAATTAAAATTACAATTTTTTTTTATTTTTTCATGTTTAATTAATTAATCTATTTATAAAAAATTTAAATCATATATTGGAAGAGTAAATATTTTTAAAAAATATAATCAAGTACAATTTAATTTGCTATAGAGATTTAAAGTTATAGGATTTGAATTCATCATCGAACCCATTGGTCATTTAAATTACTAAATTACAATTAAGCATATAAATATATTTAACAAATTTTCTAATAAAAACACAAAATCTAATCAAAAGCGGCAAGTTTCGTTTAAATTTGTATCTAATGTTATTGTTCTACCCCAGTTAATTACCCTATGAATCATAATTACTTATAAAAGCAACTTTCACATATAGCAAACATAAAAATCATATTTGTTAAATATGAAGCTGTAATCATAGTGAATAATAAACTAGTAATGCTTGCCAACTCACGTAATTTTCCCATAAATTAACTAAGCAAACTAATTAAGCACATTCTGGGTACCTAAGTTTATTTCCCTTAGACCTACAATAATCAAAAGTCATCTGTTTTTTTCTGAAATTCCTCATAAGCTTCAACTGTTTTGGGCCTAATTTGGGCCTAGTCCATGGGCTAAAATCTGGGGATGGCAAGCAATTACTACCAGCAGGGCAGCCAGAAATGTTGAAGTCTTGAAAACTAACTATAAATGGTGCATAGCCCCAATCAACAGCTCCAGCCCAAATCACACTATCTGAAATCCATAGGCTTGCTTCTGCCCATAGTGATTTTGTTGGAAAGTTGATACCTCTCTTTGTGTTGTTCTTGAATGACCTTATAGGTATGTTATCCACAAAAAACCTACAAAAAAAAAACATAGAGAAACAAGTACATGTATGTGTTATAATGAGGTTTTAAAGAAGTCGATGAATGATGTTATCAGCAGTGGTGGAGTCAGAAATTTTAATAAGAGGATTAAAAAACATTAGAATGTGATACTCCCTCCTACTTTATTGAAATAAGACTTGCATGAATCCATCAAAAGAATTAGCCACACTCACCAAAAAAAATGAACAAAAAGAAGATACTCCCTATTAATAAAGGTAATTAACATACTAAAATATGTCAAACATAAGAAGTTAATTATAATTACTTACACTATTCTTTGTGGAGTATAAAGAATTTGATAAGTATGAAAATCCTCAGAAGGATCAAAAGAAAGTTGAAAAACTTGTTCTCTACCACCCCTATCATTAGCAAATATATTTGTCTGTAATCTTCCTTCAGTCCCTATAAATTCAAAGTCTATTTCATCATGATTAACCCCTGCATCTTGATCATCTGAAATTAACTATCATAAAAAAAAAAAAAATCAAAAAAAAAAAATTTCAAAATTATATATGTACTCGTTTATACATAGCAAGAAAAAATAATTAATAACGTACGTAGAAAGCTGTGATGACTCCATTGGTCTTCTTAGCTGGCATCTTTATCCTTAGTGTAAATAATCCAGATTCATATTGTATTTTGGATTTGAATCCAGCTCCTCCTGCATCATTAACCATTTGATAAAAGTCGTCCTTTATTAATTGATTATCTTTCTAAAAATAGTTATTACATATTAGTTGCCCACCTTATTTATAATTTCTTAATATGCATTTAAAAAGGAAAAATGACCAACTAATATGGGGCGGAGAGAATATCAACAATCGCAACAAAAAAAGGACATTGAAATTACTATATTTAATTCTAGTGTAAAATAAATGAGTTTTTTCATATTTATGTGACTTACTAGAATATTTAAAAATGTCATTGAAATGGCATAATTTCTTGTAAAGTAAAGAAAAGAAAAACATGAGTTTTCAATTTTTATGATGGAGAAGTAATATAATTAAATATATGGCAAATCTAAAGCGATTTATAGATTAATTTATATCTAACTCATTGAATCTAAATTTTGAATTAAGCGAATGCAAAAACTTGTTGACTTTAAATTATGAATTAAACGTATATAATAACTGAAGGACTCTAAATTCTGAATTAAACCAAGGCAAGAAATAAAAGGATAGATATACCTGAGGATTTATCCAAAAGTAGCTGCACTTCATTACTTTGATTAATATAAGTTATATGATTTTGACCCCACAAAGGATAATAAGATTGATTAAAATCAACCATAGCATCAATTGGTGACAGAGCAAAAAACATCAAAATACAAATAATTATACTCATAAACTCAAAAGAAGCCATTGAGAGAGAAATACAACTTGTCATTAAACTAATGACAATTTTACTGACTGTTAATTAAGTTTTCATCAAACTCATGATATTTATAATGCCAAATAATTTTATGGTAAGTTTTTTTTTATGGTATGTTAATCTATGCAAATGTTAATTCAGATATTGGTGTTAATCACCATTAATTATAATATCTACCTACCATATATAGTTGATTACATAATAATTGAATATATAAAATGAAAGTTTAATTAATATTCCTAACTTACTTGCTTAATTGAATGTATGGTTAAAGATTATAATTAAGTTCTTTGAATTGTATTCGTCATCATGAGTACTAGCTTGTTTATGTAAATGTATTTTTTGATTACTTAATTATGAATTATTAACAACATACCATTATTTTAAAAATATTTTGGATACATACTATTAATTACTGTTTCCCATTCTCTTAATTAAGAAAAATAATTAATAGATCACTCTATATATAAATTTATTGAGAATCTAATTACATCTATTTTCTGTGAAATCAATAATCTGCTCCATCAATGGTCAAAGAAGTGTATAAGATTTTATTTTTTTACCGAATTCAAATATTGGATAAATACAATTATTTTATATAACCTGAATTTTAATTTTTAAAAAAATCTACTAATTTACATATGATGTGAAATTTCTTAGTAGGCGTTTGGCCATGCGATACCATATCACGATATGGTGTCGTGAGATGGAATCAGCGTTTGGACATGCGATTTTACGCTGATTCCATCTCATGATTCCATATCATGAGAGGTGATACCATATTCTCCAAAAACCATGATATGGAATCACCATGTGATTCCATATCATGGTTTGAGATATTTTAATACAATAATTGATCCATGAGTTTATATTTTGTTAAAACAACCCCACATTTATATCTACTAACCATTTGTTTCATATGTAAATAAAATTTATAATCACATCATTACTTTTTAAAATTTATTATTCTCACCAATATAAAATTTATTATTACTTTAAATTTGGTGAATATAAATGATAAAGTAGAAATTCATTTGGTGAATATAAATAAGAACGAAGGGAGTAATACTTTTTTGATTTTTCATAATAAAAAAAAACGTCTTAATCTTATGACTAAGCATA